TTTTCTAAAGAAAGGCCCTGTTTGGACACCGTCACACACAAGCGTCGGTTTCCATAGCAGAAATGCATTCTTTGCAATTATACTTTTTGATCTGCTCGTTCATTTTGCGCCCCGCCCAAAAAATTGCTCCAGACACCGTTCCGTTCAGTAGGTTATTCCTTCATTCGCACACACACAAAAAAAACAGCATTAGAGACACTTAAAAATGTAGCAGAGCTTGCTCAGAAACAGTAAGGGCTTGTTCCACTTAAGGATCCGGTGAGGCGTGCAAATCCCGAGCAGGGTTCTCTTTGTATCCACAACACAATCGCGAGCAGTTTGAAGCCCTTTCGCTTGCTGAGCCTGAAATTTAATTTTCAATCCCGCCATTCAGAAGCACCTATTTCTGGAGAGAGAGCACGTTAACGCAGCAGCACGTTGGAGGACCGCGTTTGGGGTCGCGTATTTCCTACACGACTTTTTTTCTGCAAGGTCGTGGGGTCCTGCGGCGGAGAGATAGCAAGCGCCGGGAGGCGTGGGGTCACCGGTGTGAGTTACCATGGTAATTGAGTTCAGTCATCAATGGACCTCCTCTCAGGAGGGATGAGGCGAACAATAACGGGCCGGTGGCGGCCGTGAACAGCAAGCAGGTAGGATTACCCCAAGCTTTTGTCCTAAGTGCATAATGTCTTGTAGTCAGATTTAAAGACTCCTCAGCCCCCGGGCCTCCCTCTCTGGCCCGGCAAGGGGCCTGATTCACTCGCCTGGCCAGCAAGAAGGACGAGTGCCCTACGACCCGCTGGCCTGAGAGAGACGGCTCTATTTAGTGCAGACAAAGACGTTCGATTCTCGTGTTTTTTGTTTGGGGTATTTTCTTGATTTTGATTCGCGAGGCCCGCGAAGAAGACAGGGAGCACGGGGAGGCACCGCTCTCCTGTTTTCATCTCCACCAGCCTGTCGCTTTGCATTAACATCAGCGCTAACAACCATCATCATTCCATCCCTACTGCTAATTGCAGACACAGCTGGGTCCCAGCAGGAGCGCTTCTCAAACAGCCTAGGCCTCTGAGCAGGCCGAGTGGCGCACACACACATTTACAAAGCCACTACCACCAGCAAGGGCAGAAAGAGGCAGAGTCACAGGTTGCTTGTAATCCCCCCATTACCCCCCACCGAGTCCCCGCCCCCTCCTCGGCATTCCTGCTTTTTTTTGTAAGAGTTTTTTCTAATCCGAGCTCGGCCCTTACCAGCTCTTTCTTCCTTCTGGTCCTCCTCACATAGGAGCCGCTAGCCTTCAGGTGCTTCAGGATTTGATAAAAGCGAGTCGTGAACGCGCGTGCGTGTGTGTGTGCGCGCGTCTGTGACGGGGGTGGATGGATGTGCAACCTTACACTGAATTCTGTTGTTGCCCCCCTGCTAGGCGCTATGGCTTCCTGTAACATGTCAAAGACGAGAGTGTGAATGCAAGCTTAGGAGCGCGGCTTGTGCATGTGCGTGGTGTGGCAGGGGGCAGGAGGTCGCTCAGCCTTTCAGCGCACCCCGCTAGAGGTGTGGGGGCCCTGCAGATGTTCATGTGTGTTGTATCGGTAACCATACCGTAAGCGTCCAACACACACACGCGTGTACACACAGCCCTCACGCTTTCCAATATCAGATGGAACTCGTTAGATGATCACAGTTTTTTTTTTCTCTCTCATATCCGCTTCTTTCATTATGCATTCAGAGTCATGATACTCCTGTTTTGGCTAGCAGCTATTGCCAGCTTCCCGCTGCTCAATATCCAAAAAGTGCCACAGTACATAATACGCTCTCGGAGAGTCTTCTGTTTCTCTGCTGACAGCAGAACAATGTCCCACTGCCAGCACTGTTCATTTCACAACCAAGACCATAGAGGACGTGGTCTTACTGGACGAGTCTCTCATGAGTTAAAAAATTGATTTAGCAGAACGTACTATATGAATATATGTCTTTCTTGGCCTTGTGCATCATTTGATTCTGATTCGGCACCCACAGCAGGGACTATAAAGTGGAACTCCTACATTATTATTATAGCAATTTCAATTTTTAAATATCGATTATGTCATTAAGTGAATTGATGGTTTGCAAGTAATGAGTGCAAACTGTTTTTTTTTATGTAATGTAATGTACATTTAATATACATTTACGTGTACATTGTCATCATTTACAAGTCATTCCAAACATTCTTTATTCTGTGGAACATACAATCTGTTTTTGTCTATACAGTGAAAGTCAGTGGGGTCCAGTGTTGTTTTCAGACTCTATTGACTTTCATACTACAGACAAAACCAGTTTGCATTCTTCAAAACATTCATCAAAATATTCAAAACAGTCTTCTTTTGTGCTCCACAGAAGAAAGTCAATCATACAGGTTTAGATTGACATGATTTTAGTAAATGATGACAGTATTTTTATTTGTGGGTGAGTCATTCCTTTAAAATGATAGAGGATGGAGAGGTCGCACTATTATAGGAACAAATGTAGAAGAACAAGTGTGAGCATGAGAGAAAGACTGAGTGTGAGAGAGAGCAGTTGCTCCAGGTCTGGCCTCCCCGTGGGGGTCCATCGCGGCCCGGCTGCCCAATCTTTCACAGGCACAGAGCACCAGCCCTCACAGAGCAACACCAATCTGATTCACTGTAGGGCAAGCCACAAAGCTCAGCCACTTAGATCAAATCCTAAAACACCCATTTGATTATTCAGACACACCTTAGTGGCATAATTTTACCAGTGTACCACTTAAACGCCAATGGATTGCACTTCTTTCATTGTGTGTTAAACTGGTGGAACCACTGGAACAATTGGCTTAGCAAATTGTGTTATGTTTACTACTCAAGTCTTTTGACAAGGTGAAAGTTTCCTTTTTTAGATCATCACCAACAGAACCGTAATGCTTTTTCAAACTGTGGGTGCAAAGTGAATTTTGCATGCAAGATCTATAAAAAGTAAACTGTCAAGTGTGCTGCAGTTACCCAAGACACATCTCCTGTGTCTCCGGCTCGATTTGCTCAGCTCCTAAACCGTTGAGACTCAGTCAGCTCTGATTACCATCAGACCAGCTCGATCATAACTAATCAATTAGACTTCAAACGAGATCTTCCCCACGGTCCAACATCTGTAGCCCAAAAGCTAAGTGCACTGGTTATTTGGTGCTTTGAGTTCAGTGATTTTCACTGAGTAGAAATAGAGAACAACACTCTGAGACTAAGAGAGAGGAAGTCTCGTAAAAAATAAGACCCTGAGCCACGGGTACATTAGTGAGCTCATTGTGACTGCGGTAAAGACAACATGTCCGCTGGGAATGATGGATGTTTCTCCCTCAATGTGACAGAAAGTGCCACCGTCTGAAACGCAGGCTGAGGGCAGGATTGTGGCTGGCTTAACATGGGCAACATCTCTCATGATCAGTGTCCAAAAGCAGCACAGGAGACAGCTGATGGGATCCGAAACTGTCAATTAGCAGTTCCTGGGTGGAGCTTTTGGGTGAGGATCATGACTGTGACAGAAGGACTTTCTCCAAGGCAGAGCTTGTTGGGACCTCTTTTATGAACAGCCCTCCTTGTAATGTCACCAGTTTGCTCGCAGTGCCTCTTTAAGCTCTGTTCTGCCAGTCATTTTCCTCCATATCCCTCTACAAGTGAAACTACTTGATGCCAAATTTAGTAGAAGAAAACTCCTACCGGTCAAAAGTGAATAATTAGGATTTTGGGTATTTTTGTAATTAATGTTTTTGAAAGAAGTCACTTGTGCTCACCAATGCTGCATTCATTTGATTGTAAAATACAGTAAAAACAGTAATATAGTGAAATATTATTATGATTTAAAATAGCTGTTTTATATTTGAATATATTTTAAAATGTAATTTATTTACTTCAGTGTCACATGATCCTTCAGAAATCATTCTAATATGCAAATTTGATGCTCAAGAAACATTTCATATTATTATCAATGTTGAAAACAGGTTTTGTTTGCTGTTCAGTATATTTGTGAAAACCATCATGCATTTTTTCCCCAGGATTCTCCGATGAATAGAAAGTTCAAAAGGTCGGCATTTACTTGAAATAGAAATCTGTTGTAACATTATAAATGTCTGTACTGTCAGTTTTGATCATTTTAATTTGTCCTTGCTGAATAAAAGTATTAAGTTATTTTATTCAATTTTTTTTTCCTATTTACCCCAAACGTTTGAAGGTGGATGTATCACAGTTTCCACAAAAATATTAAGCAGAAAAAAATGTGATAATGCATACGTTTATTGAGCCCAAAATCTTAATTATACCAAACTTTTGACTGGTATAGTGTATAGGTTGTCTATCTTTGTCATTGCTGATTTACATTTGTGCTAGATCAGATTGGTGAGTATTTTTAGATCTTGCACTAAAAGGATTTTCATTCACATAATCTGCTCTCTTGATACAAATCTACTGCCTACACTTGTGTTTTTGTAGATGTGTTTTCCTATGTGTTTGTGTGTGGCAGCATTTATATGTGTGTCTGTCTTTGCTGGAGAACAATGTATTTGTGTTTCAGCAATGGTACACTAGCACAATGAATCTCCTGGGCACCTGGCTGACAGACCGTATGGACCTGCAGTTGCATGTGTATCAGCTGAAAATCCTCATCAGAATTATTAAGGTAAAAACAACAGCATCACTGACCACTAAAGTGTGGGTAGTTGTGCATCTGAATTAAACGCAGAACAGTTGTAGATTCAAAACTGCCCAAGTATGTGCAGGAAGTAATCGTAGCACAGTATTTGCACCAAATGTACTTGTAAACACATGCTATAAAAATATGCACATGCCATCCAATCAGTTTCAGATTACAGAGGTGGATCAGCCAAGTGAAGGCGGTCTTCCTCTGCAGCCTCCGCCTGTGCTTGATTTTACAACAGCAAGATCAACAGGATTTCATAGTTTGACATTACACATTTATTTCTGTGCACTCATATGGTGTGTCTCTCTCTGTGTGTGGATATATCTCACAGATGCGGGTTTCTTTGTAGATCTGTATCAGATTTTTCCCCTTCATTTTCCCAAGCATAGATTAGGTTTAGTACTGGATAAAGAAGACCTCATTGTCATGTTTCCCTCATCTACAATTTCCAACAAAACCAGAATAACAGCTAGATGCAACTTTCCACAAATAGAGTACAATATCTGTTACCAAAATCAGTGACATGCATGCACATGTTTTTATTTTTAGGAATAAGAATTAAATAAAAATATTGATAAGATGAAATGAAACCTATAGGCAACAGGGCTGCAGGTTTATTTTTCACTCAATAGGACTAGCTTGGGGTTAGTAATTTATTTATTTATTTTTTAAGAAATGAATACTTTTATTCAGCAAGAACGTATTCAACTGATCAAAAGACAGTAAAGACATTTTGTATATTACAAGAGACTATTTCAAAGAAACCTAGAAAAAAATGAGCAGCACATCAGCATATTAGAATGATTTCTGAAGGATCGTGTGACACTGAAGACTGTAGTAATGGTGCTGAAAATTCAGCTGTGCCATCATAGTTTTAAATTACATTTTACGGTATATTCAAATTGAAAACAACTATTTAAATAGTAATAATATTTTTACTGATTTTGATCAAATAAATGCAGCCTTGGTGAATATAAGATTTGAACCATAGTGTGCCTTTTTAAATAACTGAATAAAATATGTCCTTGATCTTTTTCTTCCAATAACAGTAGTAATAGGGTTGAAGGTTGTGCTTGGCGATTGTTTAAATGTACCTATTTTTATGCAAAGTTAAGATTATAGTTTAATAGGGTGTACATATACAAAACAAACATGCTTACTGCTTCAAAACTAATGGGACATCAAAGTTCTGTACCCATATTCATGAAAAGAGACAAAAATATTTTTTTCTTCCGTGATTATATAACTAAGCATGCACGCTAGATCCACTTCATGTCATTCCGCTTCATGCCCCATACCTATTCCTACAATGCTCTCTATTTTTTTTTTGCAGAAAAAGTATCGTGATTTCCGACTACAAGGTGTGTTGGACTCCACATTGAACAGCAAGATGTATGAGACGGTGAGAAACAGGCTGATTCTAGAAGAGGCTACAGCATCTGTTAGAGAGGGAGGGATGCAAGGCATATCCATGAAGGACAGCGATGAGGAAGATGACTAGATCCTGCTGGAGACAATTAGGTGTGGACAATTCGGTTAGACACGTTTATTGTGGCCTAAAATGATGCATGTTCACCACTGTCCATCGCTCGTACATGTCTGGATGTTAACGTCATGTTCTATGACAAATAAGGGACCAACTTCAATTCAAATTAAACTAAAAAATACAAATCTCAATTCAGATGGCAAAAACAAAAGAGTATATTAACCGAACTTAAAATTAATTGACACAGTTTGATGTTTTTCTGGGGGGAAAAATAAGTGAAATGTCTGAAATTCGTTTCTAAATGTTTATAAGCAATATGGAGTATCATTTGTAAAATATGTTGTGTGAGATGGTAAGGAATAATGCTCGTCGTGTCCCTGTTCAATGCAAATCCGTATGGCGCTGCTTCAATGTATTGTAAATACATTAATGGTACATAACTGTGCATAGACCTTGTTTCTTTTGGAGTGTAGGCCAACTGACATGATTGTATTAACTTGTTCAGATGTTTATATATTCAGCTGACTTCAACAACATGTCAAAAATCCACCCAAAATGTTTTGAGACACCTTTTTTAACGAGTTAGTTATGGTGATATGTTTGTAGCTATATTTTAGAGACGCAATATATTCCCATTGCTTATTTAGGATATACTTAAACTGACGTCAATACTTTTTTATGTTTTTAAGCCATGCATAATTTTAAAAAAAAATCTAAAATATATTTATTCTGTATTTTGGGGGTGGGATCACAAGGAGGCGTTTTGTTTGTATCCTTTTTGTTTCTTTGCAACAAAGCATTTCTGATCCATCTATTCGGATAGCCTCCAAACGCTTGCAGGTTTTCATCATTGCCATTGTTGTTTTGTGTATACAGCGCTTTATATTCCCCTCTGTGCAGTAGCTGCATGTCCCAATTGTCAGATATCTTATCTGAAAGCTTTTGATTTTGTGGAAAGTAACCGGTGGATTCATCTTGCGTCGGCCTTATGTACACCCACAGTTGGAATGCAAGAATCTAGGCTTATAAAAATAAAAGAATTCAAACTCAAAACTTTTTTGCTCTTAAATGAGTACAATAAAGGTCACAATGTTTTATTGGTTATAAATAAAGTTACACCCACTCAAAAGCAACACCTGCATACAGCACAGGCTTCATTCGGTACTTACAGTAAAGCACACAATACTTCAACCATGACTTAACCTCTCCCCAGACCCACCCACTTCCACCAAAAAGAAAAAAGTCTGAGATTAACATTTTGGGATTAAGTCATAGCTCATCTTCAGTGCCTATATTCCAGGACAGAAGGAGATTGACTGACCAAAGATGACACACAGACCAGTCCCAAGGCAGATCTTCTCAATCAGATTAACATTTTTCATATAAGATTTTCAAAACAAATCAGTCTGGTCTTCAAGACAGTAAGTATAAATTCAAAGGATTAGATATTATTCCCGTGGCATATTAAATGAAGATGGAATATCTTAATTAGAACATAGATTGCTTGAAAACAAGTCCTCAAAGATGAGAAAAACAACCTAGACGTGATTTGAAATGATCACTGGTTTTAGGAGAAAAACGCATCTTGATACCAAACAAGAATTACTAGACAAAGCGAAAACTGTATTTTAGTATCACTAACAAATTCCAGCATTCTATACATTTATATATACATAAAGAGTCCCAAGGAAGATGACAAATGTTATTTAATTGAATTTTATTATGATCTGAAAGAAGTCTCTTATGCTCACCAAGGTTGCATTTATTTGATCAAAAATACAGTAATATTTTGAAATTCTATTACAATTTAAAATAACGGTTTTCTATTTTAATATATTTTAAAATGTAATTTATTCCTTTGATGGAAAAAATGAATTTTCAGCAGCAATTACTGCAGAATATATTCCAGAATAATTTTAATATACTGGTTTGTTGCTCAACTCACATTTCTTACCATTATCAACAGTTGCGTTGCTTAACATTTCCCTGTAAAAAATGATGAGTTTGAAAATGCTTTTATATCTTTACAACGATCTGAATTTAAGAACGGGTGTGTTTTGGCGTGCTGGAAAATGACATTTTGCTCTTCTTTATGATCGTTAAAGGTCCAGTGATGATCGTACAGTAGCTATAATGCATCATTCAGCATTTACACGTCATCTTGTTGAATAACACCGCGTAGTGTCCACTGGCACATAATTGTTAAGTATAACTGAGGTGAAGTGTTTCATTTAACCCCCTGGAGCACAGACCATGGGCAATAATGCAGCACTCAGACCCAGAGAAAGGAACGGAGGAGCTTTAACTAGCAGATGGAAATTGCCTTTTCATCTCCTTACTCTTTCCGATCCGAACCCACGGATACAATTTGGTGTGTTGCTCGGCGTGGGGGCACAGGGCAGGGAAAGACAAATGAGAGAGGCCCACCGCTAGAAAATGTTCCCGTGGCCCGCCGCTGTGACCTAATTGTCGGAATGTAGCTTCCTCCGAGGCGCCACTCTCGCGCTGATTTCACTGTAATCAACAGAGGAGGACAGAGATGCCCTGTCGCCGCGCGCGGAGCGCCGTAAGAGGAGGCTCGGATATCATACATTTAATTTCCTCATAAATCCTGCCGTAATGCAACAATTTTGAGAGGGAGAGGACCCGGCGACAGATTAATAGGCAAGGAGATTTATTCTGGCACGATCTGAGCTGCTTTGGCTTTTAAGCCTCAATCAGGTTAGGAAATAGGAACGATAAGTGTATCCAAATAAAAGATTCTCCAATTGACCGGCGCAACAAGAACTGGCCCCAGGTTCACACTCGCATCTGCGCGGGAGAGGGTGTCTGAGACGCGGATGCGAGGCGAGGCCCGGCTTCGAGCGCAGCGTGTGACCTCCGGAACGAATGCGGTGGGCAAATGAAAAACAGAAACACACAGGCAGAGTAGCACAAGATTACATTTGTGTGCCAACGTTGGGTTAGACTTGAACGTTTCAATTCGAGGCCCACAGCGTGCGTAGTTTCATCTGCTCGAGCAGATGTCATTGTGTGATGACTAGACGGAGCACGACTCTCACCTAGACGACTGTTCTCAGAAGCGCAGCTCGTGTGGAGCGATTGGATGCCAGCTTGCGTCTCTAAACCCTCTAAGTAAACAGGTAGATGTCAGATCCCTTCAACAAGGACAATTCAAAGCCTCTTATGTGGTTTTTTAAGCCAAGTCGCAACCATCTTATCTCCGCATTAGGACGGAGGTACAACGGGCCTGATTATTATTATATATATATATATATATATATATATATATTTTTTTTTTTATCTTTTCCGTGAATTGAATAGCTTAATGTTTGAAGTAATCTCACATTATGTTCAGCTCATGGGAGCGCCGTCAGAGTGAGAGTGAATGAGAGACAAAGAGAGATGAAGATGACGATCATCATCCTGTTTTAATCAGAAATGGCTGAGAGGATAAAATGTGTCGTATCTGGCCCTGTGAATGGGCTTATACTGAGAGCTCACTGTACCTAATATCCACCCTTCAAGCGAGCTGTGATAAATCAAGACACCATTACATGTCGCAATCAGCTGTGTCAGCATATTAATTTTACAATTAGCAGGCGGAATTGAAACCTTTCAATGTTTTTGACTTTTTCCAAATGACTTGAGCTGGACAACTTCTGAATAAAAGATAAAGATGTGCTTCTTAAAGATTTCAAGTCATTACGATTAAGCAATTATAGGAGAGGCTGTGCTATATTAAATCATTCTAATATGCAAATTTGATGCTCAAGAAACATTTCATATTATTATCAATGTTGAAAACAGGTTTTGTTTGCTGTTCAGTATATTTGTGAAAACCATCATGCATTTTTTCCCCAGGATTCTCCGATGAATAGAAAGTTCAAAAGGTCGGCATTTACTTGAAATAGAAATCTGTTGTAACATTATAAATGTCTGTACTGTCAGTTTTGATCATTTTAATTTGTCCTTGCTGAATAAAAGTATTAAGTTATTTTATTCAATTTTTTTTTCCTATTTACCCCAAACGTTTGAAGGTGGATGTATCACAGTTTCCACAAAAATATTAAGCAGAAAAAAATGTGATAATGCATACGTTTATTGAGCCCAAAATCTTAATTATACCAAACTTTTGACTGGTATAGTGTATAGGTTGTCTATCTTTGTCATTGCTGATTTACATTTGTGCTAGATCAGATTGGTGAGTATTTTTAGATCTTGCACTAAAAGGATTTTCATTCACATAATCTGCTCTCTTGATACAAATCTACTGCCTACACTTGTGTTTTTGTAGATGTGTTTTCCTATGTGTTTGTGTGTGGCAGCATTTATATGTGTGTCTGTCTTTGCTGGAGAACAATGTATTTGTGTTTCAGCAATGGTACACTAGCACAATGAATCTCCTGGGCACCTGGCTGACAGACCGTATGGACCTGCAGTTGCATGTGTATCAGCTGAAAATCCTCATCAGAATTATTAAGGTAAAAACAACAGCATCACTGACCACTAAAGTGTGGGTAGTTGTGCATCTGAATTAAACGCAGAACAGTTGTAGATTCAAAACTGCCCAAGTATGTGCAGGAAGTAATCGTAGCACAGTATTTGCACCAAATGTACTTGTAAACACATGCTATAAAAATATGCACATGCCATCCAATCAGTTTCAGATTACAGAGGTGGATCAGCCAAGTGAAGGCGGTCTTCCTCTGCAGCCTCCGCCTGTGCTTGATTTTACAACAGCAAGATCAACAGGATTTCATAGTTTGACATTACACATTTATTTCTGTGCACTCATATGGTGTGTCTCTCTCTGTGTGTGGATATATCTCACAGATGCGGGTTTCTTTGTAGATCTGTATCAGATTTTTCCCCTTCATTTTCCCAAGCATAGATTAGGTTTAGTACTGGATAAAGAAGACCTCATTGTCATGTTTCCCTCATCTACAATTTCCAACAAAACCAGAATAACAGCTAGATGCAACTTTCCACAAATAGAGTACAATATCTGTTACCAAAATCAGTGACATGCATGCACATGTTTTTATTTTTAGGAATAAGAATTAAATAAAAATATTGATAAGATGAAATGAAACCTATAGGCAACAGGGCTGCAGGTTTATTTTTCACTCAATAGGACTAGCTTGGGGTTAGTAATTTATTTATTTATTTTTTAAGAAATGAATACTTTTATTCAGCAAGAACGTATTCAACTGATCAAAAGACAGTAAAGACATTTTGTATATTACAAGAGACTATTTCAAAGAAACCTAGAAAAAAATGAGCAGCACATCAGCATATTAGAATGATTTCTGAAGGATCGTGTGACACTGAAGACTGTAGTAATGGTGCTGAAAATTCAGCTGTGCCATCATAGTTTTAAATTACATTTTACGGTATATTCAAATTGAAAACAACTATTTAAATAGTAATAATATTTTTACTGATTTTGATCAAATAAATGCAGCCTTGGTGAATATAAGATTTGAACCATAGTGTGCCTTTTTAAATAACTGAATAAAATATGTCCTTGATCTTTTTCTTCCAATAACAGTAGTAATAGGGTTGAAGGTTGTGCTTGGCGATTGTTTAAATGTACCTATTTTTATGCAAAGTTAAGATTATAGTTTAATAGGGTGTACATATACAAAACAAACATGCTTACTGCTTCAAAACTAATGGGACATCAAAGTTCTGTACCCATATTCATGAAAAGAGACAAAAATATTTTTTTCTTCCGTGATTATATAACTAAGCATGCACGCTAGATCCACTTCATGTCATTCCGCTTCATGCCCCATACCTATTCCTACAATGCTCTCTATTTTTTTTTTGCAGAAAAAGTATCGTGATTTCCGACTACAAGGTGTGTTGGACTCCACATTGAACAGCAAGATGTATGAGACGGTGAGAAACAGGCTGATTCTAGAAGAGGCTACAGCATCTGTAAGAGAGGGAGGGATGCAAGGCATATCCATGAAGGACAGCGATGAGGAAGATGACTAGATCCTGCTGGAGACAATTAGGTGTGGACAATTCGGTTAGACACGTTTATTGTGGCCTAAAATGATGCATGTTCACCACTGTCCATCGCTCGTACATGTCTGGATGTTAACGTCATGTTCTATGACAAATAAGGGACCAACTTCAATTCAAATTAAACTAAAAAATACAAATCTCAATTCAGATGGCAAAAACAAAAGAGTATATTAACCGAACTTAAAATTAATTGACACAGTTTGATGTTTTTCTGGGGGGAAAAATAAGTGAAATGTCTGAAATTCGTTTCTAAATGTTTATAAGCAATATGGAGTATCATTTGTAAAATATGTTGTGTGAGATGGTAAGGAATAATGCTCGTCGTGTCCCTGTTCAATGCAAATCCGTATGGCGCTGCTTCAATGTATTGTAAATACATTAATGGTACATAACTGTGCATAGACCTTGTTTCTTTTGGAGTGTAGGCCAACTGACATGATTGTATTAACTTGTTCAGATGTTTATATATTCAGCTGACTTCAACAACATGTCAAAAATCCACCCAAAATGTTTTGAGACACCTTTTTTAACGAGTTAGTTATGGTGATATGTTTGTAGCTATATTTTAGAGACGCAATATATTCCCATTGCTTATTTAGGATATACTTAAACTGACGTCAATACTTTTTTATGTTTTTAAGCCATGCATAATTTTAAAAAAAAATCTAAAATATATTTATTCTGTATTTTGGGGGTGGGATCACAAGGAGGCGTTTTGTTTGTATCCTTTTTGTTTCTTTGCAACAAAGCATTTCTGATCCATCTATTCGGATAGCCTCCAAACGCTTGCAGGTTTTCATCATTGCCATTGTTGTTTTGTGTATACAGCGCTTTATATTCCCCTCTGTGCAGTAGCTGCATGTCCCAATTGTCAGATATCTTATCTGAAAGCTTTTGATTTTGTGGAAAGTAACCGGTGGATTCATCTTGCGTCGGCCTTATGTACACCCACAGTTGGAATGCAAGAATCTAGGCTTATAAAAATAAAAGAATTCAAACTCAAAACTTTTTTGCTCTTAAATGAGTACAATAAAGGTCACAATGTTTTATTGGTTATAAATAAAGTTACACCCACTCAAAAGCAACACCTGCATACAGCACAGGCTTCATTCGGTACTTACAGTAAAGCACACAATACTTCAACCATGACTTAACCTCTCCCCAGACCCACCCACTTCCACCAAAAAGAAAAAAGTCTGAGATTAACATTTTGGGATTAAGTCATAGCTCATCTTCAGTGCCTATATTGCAGGACAGAAGGAGATTGACTGACCAAAGATGACACAGACCAGTCCCAAGGCAGATCTTCTCAACCAGATTAACATTTTTCATGTAAGATTTTCAAATCAAATCAGTCTGGTCTTCAAGACAGTAAGTATAAATTCAAAGGATTAGATATTATTCCCGTGGCATATTAAATGAAGATGGAATATCTTAATTAGAACATAGATTGCTTGAAAACAAGTCCTCAAAGATGAGAAAAACAACCTAGACGTGATTTGAAATGATCACTGGTTTTAGGAGAAAAACGCATCTTGATACCAAACAAGAATTACTAGACAAAGCGAAAACTGTATTTTAGTATCACTAACAAATTCCAGCATTCTATACATTTATATATACATAAAGAGTCCCAAGGAAGATGACAAATGTTATTTAATTGAATTTTATTATGATCTGAAAGAAGTCTCTTATGCTCACCAAGGTTGCATTTATTTGATCAAAAATACAGTAATATTTTGAAATTCTATTACAATTTAAAATAACGGTTTTCTATTTTAATATATTTTAAAATGTAATTTATTCCTTTGATGGAAAAAATGAATTTTCAGCAGCAATTACTGCAGAATATATTCCAGAATAATTTTAATATACTGGTTTGTTGCTCAACTCACATTTCTTACCATTATCAACAGTTGCGTTGCTTAACATTTCCCTGTAAAAAATGATGAGTTTGAAAATGCTTTTATATCTTTACAACGATCTGAATTTAAGAACGGGTGTGTTTTGGCGTGCTGGAAAATGACATTTTGCTCTTCTTTATGATCGTTAAAGGTCCAGTGATGATCGTACAGTAGCTATAATGCATCATTCAGCATTTACACGTCATCTTGTTGAATAACACCGCGTAGTGTCCACTGGCACATAATTGTTAAGTATAACTGAGGTGAAGTGTTTCATTTAACCCCCTGGAGCACAGACCATGGGCAATAATGCAGCACTCAGACCCAGAGAAAGGAACGGAGGAGCTTTAACTAGCAGATGGAAATTGCCTTTTCATCTCCTTACTCTTTCCGATCCGAACCCACGGATACAATTTGGTGTGTTGCTCGGCGTGGGGGCACAGGGCAGGGAAAGACAAATGAGAGAGGCCCACCGCTAGAAAATGTTCCCGTGGCCCGCCGCTGTGACCTAATTGTCGGAATGTAGCTTCCTCCGAGGCGCCACTCTCGCGCTGATTTCACTGTAATCAACAGAGGAGGACAGAGATGCCCTGTCGCCGAGCGCGGAGCGCCGTAAGAGGAGGCTCGGATATCATACATTTAATTTCCTCATAAATCCTGCCGCAATGCAACAATTTTGAGAGGGAGAGGACCCGGCGACAGATTAATGGGCAAGGAGATTTATTCTGGCACGATCTGAGCTGCTTTGGCTTTTAAGCCTCAATCAGGTTAGGAAATAGGAACGATAAGTGTATCCAAATAAAAGATTCTCCAATTGACCGGCGCAACAAGAACTGGCCCCAGGTTCACACTCGCATCTGCGCGGGAGAGGGTGTCTGAGACGCGGATGCGAGGCGAGGCCCGGCTCCGAGCGCAGCGTGTGACCTCCGGAACAAATGAAAAACAGAAACCGCAGACGCAAAGTAGCACACGATTACATTTGTGTGCCAACGTTTGGTTAGACTTAAACACTTCGATTCGAGGCCCACAGCGTGCGTATTTCACCCTGCCTGCTCGAGCAGATGTCATTGTGCGATGACGCGACGGAGCACGACTGCTCTCAGTAGCGCGTGGAGCGATTGGATGCCAGTTTGCGTCTCTAAGTAAACAGGTAGATGTCAGATCCCTTCAACAAGGACAATTCAAAGCCTCTTATCATTTTTTTTTTTTTTAAAGCCAAGCCGCAACCATCTTATCTCTGCATTAGGACTGGGATACAACGGGCCTGATTATTATTATTTTTTATCTTTTCCATAGCTTAATGTTTGAAGTAATCTCACATTATGTTCAGCTCATGGGAGCGCCGTCAGGGTGAGAGTCAATGAGAGACAAAGAGAGATGATGAAGATGAAGATCATCATCCTGCTTTAATCAAAAATGGCTCAGAGGATAAAGTGTGTCATATCTGGCCCTGTGAATGGGCTTATGCTGAGAGCTCACTGTGCCTTTCCACTACACGACCCAAATATCCGCCCTTCAAGCGAGCTACGATAAATCAAGACTCCATTACATGTCGCAATCAGCTGTAGCTGATTAATTTTATAATTAGCAGGCGGAATTCAAATCTTTGACTGTTTTTGACCTTTACATCACTTTATCTGGGAGACCTTTGAATAAAGATGCAGATGTGCTTCTCAATAAGTATTTCAAGAGGCTGTGCTATATTATTAATTCAGGCATGGCTGACAAGTTAATATAACCCACAGAAAAGTGACAATATTCAACATATAGCACAACCTTTACAGAAAAATTAATTCAGTAAAATATAAATATTAAGGAAAATTTCATTCAAAATGTAAAATATTATGATTCAAAAGAAATGTTTTCTATTATATTTTTAAATGTAATTTATTTTTTAAATAAAATCTTTCAGAAATGGTTCTAATATGCTGATTTATATTTTATAATACTATTTCAATAATAGGATGCATTTTTTAGGATTCTTTGATGAATAAATAATAGTATTTATTTGAAATAGAAATCTTTCTTTTAAATGATAAATGTATTTAATGCCACAAAATAAATGTGACCCTGGACCACAAAACCAGTCATGAGGGTAAATTTTTTGAGAATTATACATCATCTGAAATATATATATAGCTTTCCATTGATGTATGGTTTGTTAGAATAGGACAATATTTGGCCAAGATACAACTATTTGAAAATCTGGAATCTGAGGGTGCAAAAAAAAAAATCAAAATATTGAGAAAATCGCCTTTAAAGTTGTCCAAATGATGTTCTTAGCCATTCATATTACTAATCAAAAATATATTTGATATAGTTACGTTAGGAAATTAACAAAATATCTTCATGGAACATGACCTTTACTTAATATCCTAATGATTTTTGGCATAAAAGAAAAATCGATCATTTTGACCCATACAATGTATTGTTGCTGTGCAGCATGGCCTCTCAACGGTGATGTCACTTTGGATTGTGAGTCTGATAACTTGAGACATCTCCTCAAAGAAACACAAATATGCTTGAAATAAGTTTAAAGTGGATAATCAGGCCCTTGAGAGCAATGAGCTCACATCATCCTCCGCAGCCAATCAAATGGCTCGAATGCCATCCCTCGCTCATTCTCATTCCCATTCCCATTCCCATTCTTCCCTCATCCACCTGTTCTGCAGTCTGAAGCGAATATGTTAATGCCCGGCCTTACTCACAAGACACATCGTCTGCGTCCCGCAGTCTCCTCCGTCCCCATAAAACCGGAGGGGACATTCCCTTGTCCATTTTGTGGACCATATTTAATTTGGTGGACAGATGAGGGATGTGAATGGTGAATAGGAAGGTGAAGTAGGGTTACTCAGGTTGCCCTGCACCCGCGGCTTTGTCAGGCTTCCACGCCATTGTTCTGGAAAAAGCATTCAAACCTTTTGCTTGGAGCATCAAAGGTGCGGTGGAGTCCCCCCCATGCTTTGGAGACCACTGCACCATTCAGAGCTGACATTATGGAGAACATACTGCACATGGACAAGGGTCAGAAAAATAGAGGCAGGAGCAAAAGTGGTTCACTCATCACTTGAAAGCAAGTTAGGACTTGAAAAGGAAAATAGAGAAGAAAGGTGCACTGAAAGACAATTTAAGAGCTCGCTAAGAGAGCATGCACTAGATAGGGAGCCGTGTATGGCTATGACAAGACCACACAATCAAAAAAAGCTATTGGAAGTACTGTGACCATGCAAATGTTTGCCATATGTGC